GAACACGTGTGCGGTGGGCCTGGTAAAAGACAATGGAAGGCTACGACGGCCAGAGAGAGTCGAGAAGCAGCGTGCGAGTCGGGAAGCAGCGTGCGAGTCGAGAAGCAGAGGGAGTCGAGAAGCAGCGTGGGAGTCGAGAAGCAGCGTGCGAGCGGAGAAGCAGAGCTTGCGAGTGGCGTTACCGAGAGAATGTTGATTGCGTTTTGCGAGAGTCGAGTCGTATTCTAACCATCTAGTTGTGCTGCTTTCTGTACGTTTGGCGAGAATAGCTCAGGTTGAACAACAATCGCCTTTTCTTATCTTCCATTCCTTTGTAAACACACACATTATATCACGATATTACATATATTTATAAAAAGCGTCTATAAATCTTCGAATACTTTCGTGTGCTACTCTTTTAAATCATTATCTTTGCTGTTTTTATCTATCTTCGGCATAAAAAATTCTAAGAAAAAAAAATGTAAAATGTTACACGCGTGTTTAGTGCTCACCCATCCACGAAAAATTTGGCAATAAAAAGCTCGACTTACACCGTGACAATGTTTCAGCCAAAGTGGAAAATCCCTGCAAATAGAAGAACCAAGGATTTATTCCGAATTCGACGTGAGCAGAAGCAAAACGAGTTCCCTTTATCGACAGATATCCCGTTCTCCTTTCCCTACGAACTTTACGATGCCTGCTGCCTCTCTGTTTCTGCTTTTATCAGCCACCCTTCAGTGTGTCTTCGCGTGTATATTTATCCAAAGGCAGCTAGTAAGGGAGCTTGAATTTATTTATAAGTACTACCCTCCAGAGGCCGACAAAGTGAAGTCGTTCTGGGTTGAAAAGTGTGAAATTTTTCTCTATCTGTCCGCACTTCTCGTCCATCAATTATATCCAGATTCCTATGACATATTTCCCTTCAAGTTTATTCAATGAACGATTTCTTATAATTCTCGATAATATCCAATGTCTTTCTGCGATGACTTATAACCCATAACCTATTGTGATCTTCGAATTTTTCTATTTCAATCTTGCTTTTGGTTTGGGCGATAAAATGTAATTTTCTAATTAAAGTATTTAAGAGAATTGAATAGAACCGAACCGAGAAATTATGGCTACCAATAATAATCTTTTGATATTCCATTCAAATTTGTGATACTGCTTTAACCTGTAAGGAGCTTGATATATTACTTTCTTAAAATGCGGATAATATTTAAAAATAATAAATACTGCATAGACGACCGCTACGTGATTCAAAGACACGAATAAAGTTCCCATAACTTGAGAAACATGGTTCATCATAGAGATACAGCAAGTACCGCAGTTTCTTCATAAACTCGTCATAAAACTTCACAAGATTACAGCATATAGATGAAATCGGAGGTAATAACGAACAAGATATTAATAGTTCAATTTAAAGATATTAACGTCGTGAAATATATTAGATCGACAGCAACAACTGAGCTAACGCACAAGGATTAGACAAGAATTACTCTGTTTGTACGATACAGGTAGAGAAAGATACAATGTAACCGGACAGAACAAATATTTAATTCTACAACGTGCTTTGACAAAAAAAGGGGGATAAGGGAGAGAAATAAAAAAATTGCAAACCTCGTTGTACGCGTATTTGATCAATACAAACCGACAAGTTCTACGTACGCGCCATTGAACCAATTATCCCGAAAGATTCGACCGGATTTCTACGTATCACAGAGAGACTATATCTGCAGAGTGTAACAGAAGCGAAATTTCATACGAACTTTAAATATAGTGGGTGCAAATCGCCTTTGGTAACTGTTGTCCTACGGGAACGTGAATATTAACATGTTTCACGCTATATGTACCGAAGTTTACAATGCATAAGTCAGAATTACAAATAGACACGTCGGATATGTAAATAAACAAACCGTGGAGGTAAATAAATAAACTGGAAATGCTCACACGGAAAATTTTAGTCGTACGATGGGTTTGAATAAAACTTCGTATGAAAATCACGCATATAGAAAACCACATGTGATTTTTAAGTAAATCAGGCAGTGAAGAAAACGAACAAACAAAATTTATTATTTGCATAATATTTCGTGAAAGAAATCGCTGCGAAGGTTTTTTGGAATGTTTGTTGATATCCTTCGATTGATCGTCGCACTCGTGACATTTCGTAAAATAGGCGAATTATTTCGAGTCATTTCTCGCAAAATTGACTCACTACTGATTGTAATTGAGATGCAAAATTATACCGACCGCTGGATGCTTTGTGTTATATTCTCTGGAAATTCCTCGGCGTAATCGAAACGCTTTCCAGAGCAAACATAGTCGAAATTAATCGCAATCTGTCTCAAGGATCGGTGCAGGAGTTGCACCCTCAGCTGAGAACAGACATTCGCAAAAATATGCAATGGACAGGTGGTAAATGCGAAACACTTTCAGACGACGAGATAAATTCAGATATGGGGAATGCGTGTATTTAATGTTATAATAAAAATTTCATGTATATAATGTGTGTCCCTTGATAATCAATTTCTTTATCCTATTTGTTCTTAATATAATTCCAAATTTTGACTCGGATCTCGAGTAAACTTCTCTCTTAATTACGAAGCTTTTTTTGATAAGATGATTAATTCATTATGTTCCTCTTGTAACTATTGCAAATAATTTTCTTTTGTGTCGTTATCTTTTACCAGTGCAAAATCATCATTGTTTAATCATTTCCTCAATAAATGAAATCACTTATGACATCCTTATATGAACCATAGAGATATCACGATATTTGTGCACAGAGAAATATATTCAACGAATTATAACAACAATGTGTTTTATGATGAGTCATAAAAAAACAGATAGTTCAGAAAATGTTTCATTGTACGCAAGATTACAATAGAACCATTTATCGGATTCGAAGTTCTGTTAAATAAGAAGGTGGAAAAAGGACAGAAACAGGATAAATGGTGTCTTTTTAAAACAGACAGGCAATCACTCTTCGTCCCTAATCGTACCTTGTTTGTGTTATCACGTGCGTGACCCTTCCCCGTTTACCTGCCAGGCCTGGTGGGGAATGTAAGCTCGCCTACAAGCAAAAAGGAGGATCGGAACTAATTGTCACACACACTGTCCGATCACTTGTCATTCGAGATCCAATAGTCACCGAGGGAACTTCGTTACAGCGATTGTTCTTCCAGAGAAATTAAGTGAAAGAAAATTTAAAATAAAAATCCTCTAATAGCATCGAGAGTATTAATTACGCGAATTCAACTACCGATATGGCTAGGTATCTCATTAGTTTTAAATCGTAACACATAGTGTCTCTCATAATATTACAGATAAGTGTCAGTGACGAGTGAATTCATGTCCACAGTGTAAACTTTTGGCTCGTTATCTTTTCAATTATCCTGAATAAGCTTGCAACGAGTATAGTGGTTGATGGTGATAATCATCGAGAGGAATGGGTGGTCAGAATTCAAGGTGGGCCACAAGTTGCATCTCTTTTGGCGTTGCAGAGTGGATACAGGCATCTCGGACCGGTATGTCAATCGATCAAATTTTTAAATAAACGATATTCCATCCTTGTAATTATACTACAAATACAATTAAATAAATGTAAGCTAAATAATGATACGTTTCACTTATTAAATGGGCTGTTTCGAAACCGTATTGATCGATTATCAACATAAATTACAAAGCAGAGAAAAAGGATGATGTTGCAAATACTGCTTCATTTTACCTTACAATTCTGTAATGGAATTGTTCAGTTTGGCTTCTGAGAGATTCCAATGTCGTAGCAACTGCGTTACTTTAAATATTCACTATATTTTTATATATTACGTATCTACCTTTTACACTTATAAAGCTTCAGATAAGTAACGATTTCACATCGAGTTATCACTTTTCGTCGAATTAAGTATTTGAACTATTCCAACGAATGGAAAATCCGAAAGATAGTCGGTGAAAACTACACGAGATATTCACTTTTTCGTGTAGGCAGCGGTTTAATTTTGCAGGGGACGCGTGGTCGAGTGAGTTAATATTTGAAGATAGAATGGGTGTGAAACAGAATAGAGAAAAAAGCGTGGGAGTCGCTGTTGCATAGAATATTCACCGGTAATTCCGGAAATAAGTTCGTCAACGTTACGTAGAACAGCTTTCTATCCCTCTGAACACAGGGCATTGCGAGATGCAATTAAAACTTGAACAACTGCTTAATAACTTATTGTTAGCCACTTGTGCAACGCCCAATTCCAGTTTAACTTCGACCAGAGTATCCCGCCATTGTAACTTAACTTTCGTGTTTATCTCAGACAGAAGTAGTCGCGAACGAACTTCCTTCTCGTTGAACGGTAGGGAGAAAGGACTGGCAGCGAATTTATTGCCGCGAAACCGAAATTATTCGTCGGCAAATCGACGAAAACAAAACGGGCGGATTTGTGAGCCCGCTGAATGTCTTCTGAATTCAATCATCGTAAAATGTACACTGGCAAAAGCATCAGATTAAACCTTTGAAATCTCTGTTGTTTCAACAGAGATTTCGAGAAATTGTTTCCCAAATATTGAAAAGCTCGTGATGATTCGATGTTTAACGCTGGAACTACCGAACATATTAAAATGGTCAGTTGTAGGTATCTTCTCTTTGCAATTAATAGAATCTAATAAATCTACATAATAAATAAAAACTAATAAAATCTAAGTGTCTTTAGCAAAATTAATGCCGACTTTCGTTGGCCAAAAATTTGGAATTGTATCAGTGCTGAATCTTCTCTCAATTATCTTATTACCTCTAACAAATTAAGTTTCACTAATGTTTAAGTAATTAATTCCGATATAATGTCAATACTAGTCACTTGTATGGCTGGTTCAAGACTACCTTATGCTTACAATAATATAATTAATTTCTATTATATCTTTCTTATTTTCATCTATTGTTTTCGATTTAGCAAGAAGTAAGATTTACTTAACCAGCATTGATTTTTACTAATCACTTGACTCAACGATTTCAGAAGTTTCCTTTTAATAAACGACTCGGTTAGCGGATTAGTTACGATCATTCTATATATATAGTATATTTAGAAACGCATAACACAGATCGATAATTTCATTATCAAACGAATTAAAACGTTCCATGGATATCGAGTTACAAGTAATTAAACGTACAATATGAAATATACTAGCGCCATCGGAGAAAGGCTCAAGTACCGAACGTCAAACGAAACTAATTAATAGGACGAGAAACGGATGAACGGTAACATGTGCGGTGTACAAACAGATGTTTTACACGTTCCGATAATCCGCAACGAGTCACTCTAATCTCAAGTGTTCGTTAAACAGCGGCGCAAAACGCGTCCGCTCCATTTCACGCGTGACGCAAACCCGATGTTTCAAGAGAGTCGCGGATTCACTTTGAAACGTTGTTAAAACCGTGAATCGTGGGTGACGATTCCTACGATGATGCTAGAATAATATCCATCCCAAAAAAATGCCACGAATTCTTCAAGCGAATTCATTAGGATTTTGCAAACATGCGTCCAAGATTCGCTCATAACATAAACAAGAAAGTGCTGCTCCTTTAAAATACTGAAACATTCATGCTTCCTTATTTTCGTATATTATATTGTAAGTTGAACGCTACGCATCATATTTCTGAGAATTCGCGGCCAGCTAGCGAGATAAAACTTGCAAGCTTAGCCAGTGACCGAGGTGGCGTGAAAGGGATGATAATAGTCTTCAGTTGAGGGAAATATTTATGTTTCCTTATTTTCACATATTATATTATTAGTTGAGAACTACGCACCGTACTTCTAAGAATTTGCGGTCAGATAACAAGACAAGAGTTGCAAAAATTACTGGTCAGCGACAAAAGAAAAAATGGGTGATGAGGAGAGGGGGTGATAGTGGTCGTCTCTTGAGGAACCGGCTCGAGAATATTTGTACAGATTCATTGAAACGTAGATGAAATTATTCTATTTCATTAGTAGTTTATAGAGGATATTTCTTTACCTGGAATTTTCAAAACCTAATTGTTGCCGCAAAATTGCAGTAGTAATTCAAATACCTTGAGCAAACGTTTCGCGGGAATATTTTCCCGTCGATCGTTCACCGGGATTCCGCCAATCCGCGGGCGGACGCGATATTTCTGCTGATGCAGCCTCCAACCTTTTATCGACAAATAATATTTACATATAATTCCAGTTCGGTTGGCGCGATGTAATTTCGCCGGAACGGCGAACATTTTTTCGGACCTCCGTTTTCTTATCGGAAATGAATATAATTGAGTGGCGACGAAATACACGACACATCAAATGCAGTAATTATCATGTTAGTAATGAAAACCACAGGCGAAAAGAGTCATAAGTTTCTCGTTTCTCACAGTACAATTTCTCAATGTAGTATGTCATCGACCAATCCTACGTGGAAACTATCTACGTATCTTGGAATGTATTTAGGCATCATTCGATTATTTCATATTAGAATACTTATTTTTAGTCACCAATTGACATAACGATCTGAAAATTGACAAGAATTGTCTTGTCACAAATTTAAAGAGCAAGTAAATTGAACTGAAGAAATATTGTATTTTTAATATAAAAACAATGCTTTTTAAAAAAGAGGGAGTCAAATAGATCAAGTTCCGAAAAGTGACTAAACCGCGTAATTAAGAAATCTAGAGCGCAAGAATAGCAATGATATCACGCCCATGTCGTAAATCTGGCTTAAAACTATCTATCTATAATCCCTTGACATATAACTCCCCAAGCTAAAAAAGGAAAAGAGAACACAGTGAAAAGGCAATATTGTTATCACTTTTTTTATTAAACTTCACACTCTAAACGTCGACCCTAAAAATCGTTTCCGAAACGTTTCTCTGGCCGATGCAATCGCGATGCATCGCGAGAAGAATGGGGTTAGCTTAGGTACATAAGGGACGAGGAAACGAGACGATCGGCTAAACATCGGTTGGTCCAGAGGCAAAAGGGAGAAAATACGTCCGGGGATATCTTCTTGGTCGGTGGGACGTTTTCTCTCGCGCGACTTGATCTCAAGGCAGAACTCGTTTTGCAAAGTGCACGAGCGAGGGGAAGAGACGAGACGAGAAGAAATATAGAAAGATAGAAGGAGAAGGAAGGTGGAACGGGAAGAAGAAACCGGGGAACGAGATCTGGCCGATGTCTCGGTGAATCTCGACGCGGAAACGGAGGGAGAGAATGGCTGGAACGAGCGATCAAATGGTTCGTGAGGCTTGCTTACCGAGATAATCTCTTTGCAGCGATCCGTGTGCCGTGGGGAAACGATTTGGCCGCACTTTTTCGACGCTTCCCCGCTACATTCACGTCTCGCTGGATCTCGAAGGCCTGAAATACGTTTACGCTTTCGCGCAGATTTACCAGGCCAACGGGAACACGGCGGGGAGGAGGGGGGAGAGGGAGAGCTTGCTTGGTAAAATGTACGGGATCCACGTTCAAAGGCTCGGGAAGCTGGGAAAATTTCTAGAGTGAACGGCAACCCTCTCTTTCCACGCGTATTTGACTGGGGCCACAAAGCGAAAACTTCTTTCGAGGAAATTGAGACGCGCCCGTGATCTTCGAATAACGGTGACTTTTCGCTCGTGCTGTCTCTCTTTGCACGTTCATCCGAAGGTAGACTCGATGTATCGCAGCGTGTATCGCGAAAGTAACTACACGCGTATGCAAGTGTAAGAGAGAAGGGCGAATCGAATTTCATCTAGCTTTTTACGAGCGTCGTGCCGTGAATGCCTTCGATAACTCTTAAATCGAGTAGCACGATAAGGGTGTATGCTTTGTCTAAAAGCGTCGATGGACGAGAATTTGTTGCGCGAGTATCAATGTAATAAGATAAGATAAAGTTTTTTGTGCGCTGTGTCGTTTCGCGGAGAACGGATTTTTCCCGAGAATTATTAAAAAGGAAAAAAGGAATTGATGGAAGCTATAGAAATGATACGTCCATTGTGTTGAATTATGTATATTCCCTGTTTTTAAAGTGTATTGAACAGAGTTAAATTTTGTGATACATACGTCACAGTCAAATATTATATTCGTAGTTATAATCGTGTATTCTAAAAAGCTACTCTAAAAAAGAACGGGACAAAGGAAGAAAAGAAAAGAGATTTCAGATCCAAGAAAGAAGTATGAACAGATTACAACTTGTCCTCCAACGAAAATGATCTCGGAAACTAACTCAACGGTTTCACTTGTCTTCTAGATTTTCTTACCGATAATTTTCTAAGTAAATTACATTCCATCAAAAACAAACAACCATCCCTATACTCCTACTTGACAGTGTAAGTACGTACAACGTTCTTAAATGCGTTCTTCTTCAGCCATACTTTTTAACTCTCTTCTTTACCAATAAGGAAGGTGACCTACATGGACCCGCATGAAATTGCAGCAACCCCGTCGCCGAACGAGCGTTTACCCTCGTGAAAGAAACGCGCGTGTGCACAAACTCTTGAGCATCCATGCTCCACAGAATTTCCCTACGCTCGGCACACGCATCAAAAGTTTGATCCACTTTT